GTCTAACGCTTGGTTTACGCTCGGCTCACAGAGCGAAACCGTTTGCCGGTCACAGTTCAAATCACTAAATAACAGTCTGATATTTTGCTCGAATTTAAGGAATCAAAGAAACCGTGGACATTCTCCGCGTTGAAAAATACTTTGAAAAAGATGCATGGTTGTTGGTTCTTAAATCAACAAAGGAGAAGATCCGCGTAGACTTCGTTTGTTCTGTTTGTGCAAAAATGATATAAACGACGAAAGTGAAGACAGCATTGCTTGTAACAGGTGTCTCATTTGGACTCATTTTGCATGCACTTCATTAAAAAGTCGAACAAAGAACAGAATCTGGTTCTGCAAATCTTGCAGAATTAAATACTCAATTTACAGAAGATTATTTATCAGTCTACTCCTACTTCTAAGATTACCTGGTTACTAATCAAAGTAATAACTTATGAGATTTTTCATACGCTGCGTTTTCCATAAGTGGTGTACAAATGGGCCCTGCCCATGCCTCAGTCGAGTATAGTAGCGACAAAAATCTTGTTTTCATTGTAAGAAATACTCATTAGAAATATATTCAATTATTTTTTAATCATTTTTTTTCGGAAATGGTTTCATATTTGACAATGATAGAAGTTTTTCTGGCACTAGTTGCCTTTAAATCTTAATTGCAATCATTTATTATTTTTCATGTAATTAATTGTAAATCATCTTGTGACGCAAGAGTTAGACTTGTGGTCTATACTGAAAAAGCTGCTGGATGGCTTTGTACTTCTTATTCGACATATCATTGTTTGAATATGACCGGCTCGATTCCTTGAAGAATCGATCGTACTGCCGGTCATTCAGTGATTTCAAAACTGTTTCTGGCAGTTGACTTAAAAAAAAGACTAAGTGTCACAAACCATGGTTTCGCTCTCTTAGCCGAGGGTAAAGCAAGCGTTAGACTTGCGAGCTTTCCTGGATCACTTGGCAGTTCTTAATCGAAATATAATAGTTTGAACTGGATGGGTTTCTTTGATTCTTTAAATTTGAAAAAAATATGAGACTGTCGGTCATTTAGTGATTTGAAAACCTTGACTGGCTGCCGGTCATTTAGCGACAGCGAAAGAAAAAACCGCATATACAGCAAAAAATTGTCATTCAAGAACACGCTTTCTTTGCAAGACTCACAGCAAAGGATAATTTCGTAACCCGCCTTTTTAAAATACACAGTGTTCTGCGCAGTCAGTATCTGACCCTAAAATGAATTTTAAAAGACTCGACAAAGGCTTTTGTTGAAATATTATTTTAGGCAAGGGTACAAGGGTAGGTATAAGAAGGGATTCGTAATCCGTCATGTTAAAATACACAAAGTCATTCGCAATACGCATTCAGTATCTGAACGATATCAGCCGCTAATAACCCTTAAATGAATTTTAAATTTTGTTTTGCCGTGGGTTGATTTTGTGCTGCCCCGAATAATTTCATTTTTCCGTTTCCGTCAGTTACCTTATTTTGCCCGCGGAGTTCCTTGGAATGATCTCAAATGCAGTAGTGTCATCAACATACTTCGTTCGCATATGCCAATTACTGAGTAGCTTGTTTATCATAACAGTAAAGAGCGTTAATCCGAGTTTTGTTCCCTGTGGGACGCCACCACTGACTTGCTTCCATGGTGGCAGGGAGGAGCCAACACGTACAGCCTGTGTCCGGTTGGTAAGAAAGGAACAAATCCAAAAAAACAGTTTGATCGATGTTGAACGATCTGAGTTCATCTAATAATATTGAGTGGTCTATGATATCGAAACCTTTAGTAAAATCAGCAAAAAATATCCGAACAGAGCAGTTACCTGAATCAATAGCTTGGTGTATAGCTTGCATTAAATAAATTAGTGCGTGCACTGTAGAGTGTCCATAACGTGCATATTGATTGGGTCAATAGAATCAAACACCTGATCTAACAGTCTTTTGTTTGTAAAACCCTCTAGTACTTTTGCTAAACAGCTTGTAAGTGCAATTGGTCTCAAGTCTGATTTAATGTTTTGAGGAGGGGAAACTTTAGGGACTGGTGAGATAATTGACTGTTTTAAATTGTCAGGTACGAGACCTTCTCTCAGTGATTGATTGTAAATATCTTGAATCAATGGTGCTAATTCGGGTGCAAATTGCTTCAACAATTTGTTCGATATTCCATCTG